TACTTTGATGAAATACAGAGTATAATTGAAATACTTGACAAAGGTGATAGTAGCTTCACATACTACATACATATTTGTGCATCAAATATTCTGATGTGATATATTTGGTTATTTATTGAGTGAATTTGAGGAGTTTCATATATCTTTTAAAATCTCAGTTCATTAACCATATCTTCACCGGCTGCTTTAACTAAAGCAGTGTGTGCTAGTGCTACCTTGTTTTCAAGGAATGGCCACAAAATTTCTTTACTACAAGTATTCTAGCCTTGCCATATGCATCCCTGTAACACAATTGTAATTTTTATTCCTTTTAGTGATGCAAAAGGTATCATTTTTACAAAGCCACTTAGTGGACAGAGAACATAACTGAGCAGGAACAATGTGCTCTGATGTTGCCTTTGTTCATCATGAGTTTTATTTGCATCTCCTGTCATGAAATAACTGGCCTTATCATCTGTGTTATCCCAAATCTTTGATTCAATACAAATCATGTAACTTGAAGACAATCAGGAAAATCAAAACACAAGAGGAATAGGCCGTATTGTTTCATCCCAGCTCTGTTTGAGGGTTTCACTGAGAAGGTCACAGCATTGCCTCTGTTTTTCTGTATTTATTTCTTTTTCTTCTTTAAGGCTGCAAAACTGGAACATATTAGTTCACTGGTATTCAAATACACAATGCTCATATCGTATTGGCATCTGGGGGCATACCATGCCAAATGCTTTGTTGACTCTGCTTCAAAGCTCTTTTTAAGTCAATTGCTTCATTAGCAAAGTGATGTGTAGGTCCCTTGTCATGCCGGTTGTAGGGCTGGAGAGGAATGCAAGGCTTTTTGGTGAAAGCGCTTGAGCTAGACAGAGTACAGAGAAATACAGCATGGATAATCTTGTCTTGACCTGGAAAAATGATTAGATGATCTAATAGGTCATTGTCATATAAAGTCCTTAGTTCACATCCAGTTTTCAGCCATGAGGGGAGAAAGCTCTCTGGGACTTCCTGTAATGTGGCAATGTGCTCCACATTTGGCAGTACTAATAGGGCACCTACTGAGCCCTCAGCCTCCCCTTTACATAATCTGCAGGTTAATACTTTCCTATGTAAAGCCATATCAGGCCTGTGAGTAAGAAATACACAAAGCAGGCTAGAGGAGGTGGGTGACAAATGGAAAGAATAAAATATAACTGCACTCTCTGCCTGTCCTGGAGCCACTCACTGACTTTGTTGCCTGGAGTAAACCCGAGCAGCCCTGTAACCTTCTTCTGCCAGCTGCCAACAGGGGGGAACAAAAATGGTGGGTGAAGGTAAGCACAGAAAGCTACCTTTCCTTTGTTCACACTCAGTAGCTGGAGGAGAGGTTGAGGGCAAATAGGGTTTGATTCCCAACCCACAGAAAATCCTCTCCTGCTGAAATGACTGTTTTCCAGGTGGTTTTGTTTGCTTTAGAGCTCAGCTTCACACTCACACCGTGCTGGTGCCATGAAGGTGCTTTAAAAGCTATGTCCAGCTTCCAGACATCTATGATTAAGTGATCAGTGACTGCACTTTGCTACTCTTAATTTGTATGACTTTTGCCCTGGACTGAAGTTGGCTTCACAAATGGATGTGAATAACTACCTTGTGACAATAACTGGTTGCTAATACATCAGAGAACCAAAATAGAAAAGAAACTTCTAGCAATGATGATACACATCTTGAAAAAGACAGGCAAATACACTCTTTCTGAACATTTATATTAGCTAAATAGGAATGTATCTAAAAAGAAAAGTATGTTTTAATGCAATGAACAACACTAAATACTGTTTCCCTGCAACCTGAGGAAACCTTCAGTGGAAAGTTGCTTTCTGAAAAATAGAAGAGAGCCTCTCAAGCCAAACTCTAGGAATAAGCTATGTTTCTTCTAATTAAGGTTTAGTACTCACCCACCACCAAGAAGAAGAGGAATGAAGACACTGCAGACCTATAGAGCTTCCCAATGTGCTGGATCATAGTTGCTGAAGTATATGGCCTCACTGTCTCTCCCTCTGGTCGTACGGGCAAAAAATATGTGTGTATTGTAGCAACAGGACCTCACATTCTGCCCAGTGAATGTCACACTTACTAAAGTTACCACAGCTTTGAGCTCACAGTGCTCTGCCTGCTGCCTGGATGACAGCCACGTTTGAAGTGACAACAATGACTTCCCCGGGGGCTGTTCTGAGCTCCCTCTGAGATGATGTCGAAAATGCTCTGAGAGCAGAGGAAAGATAATACATTGTTTTTCACTTTAGCCTTGTACAAACCACAACTTTGTTGAATACAGAGTATCCAGATACTCCAAAGGAGACCTTTCTTCTGCTGAAGCCCTCCCAAGGAAGCGGAATCAAGAAGAGAAAGAGCATTGGATTATTTTTCTGAGTAGCTGGACCCCTATCACCCTAATGCACCACAAAAGGAAGTTTCAGGAATTCAATATTTTTGTGATTAGGTGCGCATGGTGTTTATAGGTAAAATGTATTCCCCAAAGTATTCTTTTCAGTGCAGAGCAAATCCTTTTTCATCAAAAGTTGATTATTTAAACTGTTTAAGTAGAGCTCATCCATGCCACCTGGGTGGAGGGGAAAACTGCTGAAGCAGGTGGCCTATCTCCAAAACCAGAAGGTGTACTCTGAAACAGAGTCTGGGTTCACATGAGGCACACATGGAGTATGACTTTGTGGGAAGAGCTGCAGCAGCTCCAAACCCTACCTGTACCATCCAGCCCCTCCAGCAGTGTACCCCTGTACGGAGCACATGCCACTCCCAGTAGCTGGCTGACACCTCTTCCCTCAGCTACAGGATTAGGGATTACTGCACACTTTGTCTAATGATCTTGTGTATCTGTAAAACTCTCCAGGTAGTGGAATTGAGTACCCAGTAAAAACTCAATTCCCTGCGTAGAAACCACAATTCAGCTGAGAGAGGCATGAGTATTTCTGCTTTTCTTTGCATTTGAAAGCAAAAAGGACCCATAGCTGATTTGAAAAACTTTGTTGACCAAACAATGTTAAGAGGAACAATTCATTCCTGTAGTCACCCGTTGGTGTGCTGACACCAAAGCAGTAGTATCAGCAAGAGCAGGATAGGCTAGAGGGAGTATAGTTAAAGGAACCTGGAGGGCAAATACTTTTCTGAAATAGCTTGGAAGAGTGGGAAGATCTAGGATCACTGGGCAGGAATCACTTCAAAGTGGAGTATTAAGAAGGGAACTGGAATCAAGTGCAGAGCAACATAAGCACTTCAAAAGAAAGCTGGAAGGAGGTTTGTGGGGGTCTTCTGAAGGAAATACTGCCAAAGCGTTACTGAGCAAAACCAAATTATCCATGAAAGGAAAAAATTAGAGGAGTCAGAAACGGTCAAGAGTTTGAGGAGAGAATAACCAGTAGAGTCAAAGGCATCTCACAGATGAATAGGAATTGGGACCAAGTTACCGAGCTTAGAGTACTGGTCATGACTGCGTGTCAGAGAAGTCAGTGTGGGAAGATGGAGGTGGACCAAAGGCAATTTAAACAGTGTCTGATTTAAACCCAAGTATTTGGTGTACTTCAAAAAAACCCTTCAAGTGTGTTGTGATGGATGTTCTACCATTGTTCCTGCAAATGTTTTCTATGTTCATTTCATCCTGTAATAGCAATTCTCTTGTGAATCCTCCATTGAATAGGTCTATGCCTGAGCAAAACTGCCAGATCAGTCAGCTTTTAACCGAGGGAATACAAAGGAGGTTTAGTGTCGCTGGTAGCCAGTAGTTGAAAATGGAGTTTCTACCACTTAGATAACCCAATCCTATCCTAAGAGAATCTCAATTTTTGGGCAAAATAAAATGTAAACTTGGTACACAGATTGTTGTTGAGAAAAGCATGGGAAAAAAATTTTTTTTTTTTGAGTTTTAGAGGTCCAAATCAAGAAACCAAGGAACAAAAATGAAACAAATCACACCTTCTTTTTCACACTTCCTTGAAAATTTTGGAAACTCACAGTCTCTTGCAGTAAAGCTGTCGTGTCGGGGCCAACAGCTGGGAGGGGACATCAGCTACTGGCACCTCTGATAATGTATCAGGGGGCGATATCAGAGGGCAGATATCACAGGGTCCTGAGATGTCCTTTCTGGGAGAGCCTTCACACACTTTCAGGGAAATTGGTGGAGAGAAAGGGGACAGCAGGGAGAAACAGTGCTGTCACAACAGCCTGCTCTACCCTCTCCTTCCCTTGGTCATCCATCCATCCATCCATCCATCCATCCATCCATCCATCCATCCATCCATCCATCCATCCATCCATCCATCACTTTTCATCATCTACCAGGCAGCCACCCACCAAGGTGGAGATTTCTTTGCACCTCACAGGGCTTTTCTTTCTCCTGAAAAGTGACCTGAGGGCACAAATCTGCGAGTCATCATCTCCCTGGTTGGGTCCCCTGACTTGAGAGGCATCGTTTATTGCTAAGATGGACCCCAGCTTTCCAAACCTCCGTGTGCTCACAGCTTGGGGCAGAAACCACTTGGCGCTGCTCAGCAGACTAAAAAACGAGACCCTGGGTTTTCAGGGATGAACCACTCCCGCGTTGTCACCTCATCCTCCGCTGAGCCCGCAGCCAGCCTTCCCCCTTTCCCCCTACGTGTCCCTCTGGAGTGGCCTCCCGGTGCTGTTTCCCGTCGAATCCCAAGAATTTAGGATTTGGGAACCCTTTTGCTGCCCTGGCGCTGTTGAACCCACGGCCGGGGCTGCGCGCACGGGGCAATCCCTGGGGAAGGAGGCACTGAACGCCGCACCCCCCGCCGCCGGGAGTTCTTCCTGCCACAGTCCTCAAACTTTCCGTCGGCTCCCAGTTAACTCTTGTGGAAGGCGCAGAGGGGTCGCCGGGGCCGGCCGGGGGCAGGCTGGGAGGCGCCGCCGCCCTCTCCGCCCCCCATGCCGGCCCCCGCTGCCCGGAGCGGCGTTGCCGCTCGCCCTTGGCAACCCCCTGCAGCCGCGGCCCGGCGGCGCGGCCGGCGCCGGCCCCTTTAAATGGCGGCCGCGGCCCCGCCGTGCGCCCCGCGGAGGAGGCAGCCGGCGGGCGCCGCGCCGCCCTCGCCCCCTTCCATGGTAAGCGCCGCGCTCTGCGCGCTCCCCGCCCGCTCCTCCGGCGGGCCCCGCCGCCCCCCGGGCCGCGCAGGTAGGTGCGGGGGGCGACAGCCCCGCTCCTGCCCCCGGGGAGCGGCGCGGGAGGGCCCCGCAGGGGCGGTGGCGGGGCGGCCCCGCAGGCAGCGCTGGGAAGCGCCGCCGCCGCCGCCCACCCCTCTCCACCGAAGTTTTTGGTTGGTTTGTTTGGGGGTTTTTTTGTTTGTGGGTTTTTTTTTTTTGCGTGGGGAGGGAGTGGTGGCCCTCGGTGAGGAGGGGCGGCGAGCGCCCCGCCGCGTCTCCGCAGGGAGAGTCTGGGCTCCCGGGAGCCGCCGGGGGGACACCCAGCGGGGAGGCGGCCGCGGAGCTGCGGCGTTATGGTGGGTTGGGAGCGAGCGGGTAGCAACTGGTGGAGGTTGTAGCCATCCCGGGTGTTTGCGTGGAAACCCCCCCGGGGGGCAGCCGTGCTCTCAGCCACATGTCCCGGAGCGTCCGTGCCTTCGCCTCCCCACGCTGTCCGCCCCGGAGCGTGTTCCTTGCCTGGGCCGCGGGCTCGGCTGCAGCCCCGGCAGCGCTGAGCGGGTGTGCGCAGCCCGGGCTGGCTGGGGGGGCGTGTGTGTCCCATCACCGGCTCGGGGTTGGGTCGGTTTGGACTCGAAACTCAGCGTTGTCTCATCCCGGCGGATCCGGTAGTACAGGCGGTGTTACTGGTTAGGGCCCTGGGCTGGTTTGGTACCGTTTGCTGGGTGAGTTGGGACAAGTGACTTTTTGTGGCTCCGTTTGCCTTTATGAAGTAAAACTGACCTTCAAAGCGAAGAATACTGATACCAAGAGACAGTGCTACAGAATTAGAATACAGTGCTACTTACTATCTTTCTAAGTGATACGAGGCCAACTATGTGCCTCTGAAATGTTGCGCTTGTATTTATATACAACAAAATGTACAATTTATAGTGTAAGTATAAATATTTGATGTATCATTATTATAATAATATATATCAGTCCTCTGGTAAAAGTGCTACAGCTGTATGACCATTCTCAAGTTTTGAGAGGTCTCACAGGTTCCTGAGATGTGCTGCATGTTACGCACTGATGTCTCATGTTGATATTATTTCAGTTCTAAGTATCTGTGCAGCTTCAATGTGCAAGTTGAGGGGCTGCTGTGGAAATGGAATACTTTGATAAAAATGTAAGTAATAATTAAATATAGTATATTCCAGAAAAAAAAAAAGTCAGTCAAAAGGTTGTCAGTGGGAAGTGTTTCAATGCCACTCACCTTGGTGAGACCAGCATGCCAATTTTGTTTAATATACAGATTAGCCGTCTTCTTATTTCACCTTTCTCCTCCACTGCTGAATTACATACCTTGCTTCTTTGTTCACAGGAAGTTCATGAAGTGGATCATGGTCTTATTAACCAGCTACTTGCTGATTCAGAGGAGGCTCTTAATTCGTGCACAGAGAAAATGCAGGGTCCTGCTCAGTACAGCTGGAGTGCTGACTGGAGCTTTTGGGTAATGTGTTTTATTTCTCTTCTAATTTGTTTTTAATTTATAATTGTAATACATGTATATTTTAATTTATGTATGTGTGCATATGTACAAGCTTTATATCCACTGTTCTCAAGTTACTTTGTAGTCATGAATTAGTAAAGTACTCTCCACCCATGTAGTGAGGTAGGTAATTTTATCATTACTGGCTTACCAAAGTGTAAGCTGAGACTGAGAGGGAGTGAAGTTGTTTACCTGATGTCACATATCAAATTAGTAACAGAACTTCTGGCTTCTGTGCCCAGTCCTGTCTCCCAGTTCCTGGCATGGTTCATTAACGTACCCACTGTCTCTTTATGCCTTTAGAAAAAACATTATTAATGCTTTTTCACCATAAGGGCTGAACTTTGATTCTCATTGTTGGGTGGTTCTTCTGATGTGCTTTCTTACTGTCTGTTTTCAGTCAAGTAAATGTATTTTTTTTCTACAAGAGTAAGTAAGCTTCCTGTGCTCTGTGTACAAATGGCATTTGAATAAGAAGGGCAGAAATGAGGGGTTTAACTTTGTTCCTCTCCAGGAAAATGCCTCACTGAAAGCAAAGGGAGTGATAATAAATGCTTATTTTAATACTTTTCTCATGCTTTTGGTGGTGGTTTTTTTAATGCCTTTAGAGAAGGTAAATATGTTTTGCTGTTAGTTTGGTAGAGGAGTTGCTGCTGTTTGATAAGGAAGAGGACCACCTGTGCATGCAGCCACGGGGAGGGTAACAGCTGATCATGTGAGATGCTTGTGTTCCTTCCTCACAGCTCTGGCAGTCTGACTCAGGTGCTGTATCAGGTGTCCTCAGTAAACTGGTTTGCTTCAGTTTGTGTACAGGATCATCCTCTGGACTACTTTGTCCTTCTTCTGGTGAGGTCATCAGAGTGTTCATTGTGCTCAGCAGGTGAAAGATTAAGTAAGTGGCAAAGGCCATAAGGAATCTGTGGCAGAACTGGGGGGATCAGATTTCCAAACTCCTTATTTATAAATCTAGCTTGTATGTGTTTTCATGCCTTCTGTTCAAACTAATTGGATGTCCTAATGGTCAGAACATCGGTTTGTGCATCTCAGGCCCTAGGCTAAACTCCCTACAAATATATGTGTACTCTTAAACTGAGCGATAGTAGTCTGGAGCCAGTGGAAATGGGACAGGCCTAATGAATCCCAGCAGGTTGTAGACTCATGTTGCTAGACAGTGAGCACTTGGATTGTTCAGTATTTTCTCCACTATTCCTATGAAGACAAAGGTGATACAGAACTGTCCTTCCTGTGCCCAACTGTATCTCTGTACTTGAACTGATAGTAAATCACACTGTGCAGACATTGGATCTGCCAGTTATGCTCTCATTAGATGGCGGATTAGATTGTGTAAACTAACTCGTGATGGTTTGTGTACAACCATTAATGCAGGTGGTAGTGAGGAATAAGCTTGTTTGGGTCTTGGGATCAGTTTGTTAGACTTGCAGTTAGTAACTTAGTGTTTCCTTGGTAAGCTTGGCAATTGAAAATTAACTGCATATACTGCACATATAACCGGCTTTGCATTCTTGGGTTTTAGGTACATGATGGATGTCTGAAGTTTGTTTGAACAGAGCTTTAAACCTGTACAGTGTGTGTCCTCACAGTGCCACTTTCTGCTTCCTGTAGTAATATGTGCCTGTAACTTCAGGGGAGCGGAATTCTTCAGTGCAGTGCCAGCTGCTGTATGAGGTGTTTTCCAGCATGATTAAATGATTGCTTTCCGTCTATGATTTATACTTCGAGACCTCAGTATTTGTTTGATGTTAGCGTTTATCTGGTTCTACAAATATGACCTTGCAGTTAAAACCAAGTAATTGTGTAAATACTCGCCTCCTTTAAGATAATGCTATGGCTTAGAGTGTTCTAACCATACTGTCTGTTACTGATTAGTTTTAAAAAATAACCAGTCTGGTTATAGGAAGCTATGGCACTTATTTTGTCAGCCTCAAGGGGTCTGAATTTAAAAGTAACAGGAGCCAAAAAGTCATAAATTCAAGGCAAAATGAAGATCTTCTCATTAAAATGCTATGTCATTGGCATCTGTCCTCCTATTCTTGACAGAAAATGTATTTCAGTAACTTGCATGGTTGATGATCAGCTGCTGACTGTAAAAACAAATCGTTAAAACTCCCTAAATTCTGAGTCATAGTAAATGTGTAGGTGATAGCATGGAAGGTAGCTTGTTGCAGTGTGTAAAGCATGTGTCACTGACACTTGACAAAGGATGATCTTAGTGTCCTGTGGCAGGTGTAGATTATTATGCTCGTTCCTACTCTTCAGTCAGCAGAAGAAAGGAATTGCTACAACGGCAGGATTAGCCTGTGGTAGCATCCAGGGATCAGCTTTGTTGCCTGGGTTATTTGCTTTGAAAGGCTGCACGTTTCTGACAAGTTTGGTTGACTCCAAGGGTTCATTTCTTCTGAGTATGATGTACCCTTGTTTCTCTGATGATGGAAGCGAAATGTGGATGTTAGAGCCTGACTGGTTTGACTTCAATTTTTCATGGATTGAGTGGGAGTAGGCACTTGTGCCATGCCCCTGGAAGTCAAGCCAGGTATCCTGAATGCTCAGTAGGTGCTGTGAGCACATGTAATTAGCAGCAAGATAGGGTTGGCAGCCTCTGGGATACAATCTCTTTCCTGGCTATGGTGAGTGGGGAGAAGAAAGGGTAGCATAAAAATTAGAAGGGAGGGAAGAAAAGAAGAGAATCCTACTGTGCAGAATAATACTGAAAAATTTTGAGAAATAATTAATTTTCTTTTATTGTAACCTTAAACTGGGAGTGTTACTAACTGCTGTTTTTGAGATTGATAGTGTGTTGTGGATGTTTTTTGTGGGTTTTTTTTGTTGGATTTTTTTCCAGCTGGAGGTGTACAAAGCTGGACTTCTGTAACGTCACTGGAGGAAGAAAAAAGACTGCTTACAAAATTAATTTGAGGACTTTCCCCCTTTACTGGAAGCCATAAAGCTTTTATCTCCATTTGATTAAATTATTCTAGTTTTGGCAACTGCCAATAGAAGTGATGAAAGTCAAAGATGATTTGGAAATTAAGTTACATCTGGAAGCCCTATCTCAAGATTATGAATTCATCTTTTTATCCTTTTTACTCCCTTCATACTGAAATATAATTCAATTTAATATCCTTGGAAGAAAAAAACCTGTGAAAGTCTTAAGTGTTCTCCTACTGTAATGAAGAAAGTAAAGATGAATGAGGAAGCTAATGAAAAGGATCTTTGCATCAAAAGTGAGGGTGTTGTGTCTGGGGACTCTAGTTTATATTAATGAATAGTCAAAGAAAGTTCATGTATGTCTACAATAAGAAGAATGCCTATGGAAATAAAGAACAAAAAAGTAAGTCCTTCTGTTGCAATGAAAAGGTAGGTGGAAAGAGTTAAATTGCTTGTATCTGGGAGGCTTGTTTAAGAATTTGGATATGTGAGGTGTCAAAGAGGTGTTGGATTGAAAATAATAGAGGCTTTAAAAAAGCCAATTAATTGCAATGTAATTCCAGTTTAAAGAGTTGGTCAGTACAAAGCAGTCTGACAATAGAAGCAAATGATAGAGTGAAAAGTGAAAATAAGCTTTTACTTGTCATAATAGAAGAGCAAATGAGGTTGCACAAGGTTGGGAAAATATTTTGAATTGTTACATAAAATTGGCTTCTATGAGAAAGAGCTAATCTGTGGGAGCATGTGACAGTATGTATGTCAAGAATACAATAAGCATGTATGACTCAAACCTGCACAGGAGGGATGCAGATACACGTCACAATTTGGAAGATAACTTATTGAAGAACAGAATCAAGTTGAGGTACTTTGTGGTCCAAGACTGGTAAAGGTTGAATGAGATATTTTTTGTATTTATGGTTGTTTGAATGGTCATTCTGCTTTTCTCTGAAGACTCACATCACTCTTGGAATGGTTTACTTGGCTGGTTGAATTGGTAACTATGTTTTGTCAGGCTGGTATTTAAGGCCCTCTGACAGCAGCTACATCTCCGGTGTTGTGTATTTGATATGTTGCTTCTTTTTATCTGTGCCTTCAAATCAAATGTTTGGAATGTGAAGGAGAGACATCAATGTTTATTGATGCTGCTGGAGGAGGATTTTTAACCTCCTTTTTATTTGCTGGTATGAAACAGTCTGCTAAGGAGGATGAGAATTGGTTAACTCCTGTGTCTTCAAAGAGAATATAAACTTTAATCACATTAGTGCTAGGTTTTGGTGTGGCTTTTTGTTAGGCTTTTTAGTGTTTGGGGTTTTTTGTGTGTGTGTGTTTTATTTTGTTGTTGTTGTTGTTTTTTGTGTTTTTTTTGGGGTTTTTTTGTTTGCTTGTGTTTTTTTTTAGTTTTTTAATGTCATAACTTTAGTATAAATAGCTTTTGTTTCTGTACCATTGGTGTGTTTTTTGTTTACCTGTCTGGAATCCTTTTTTCAGCCCTGTGATAGCACTGATTATATAGCAGCAGTGTTTTAACATGGTAAGAAAAGACAAGCTGCAGTTCTGGCTAGCCCTTGAACATGGCTGATTAGGCCTAATGGGTTTTTCTCACTTCTTGTCATGCTGGGAATCTCTTTATTGCTGTCGATGCAGCTCCAGACTGAGTGCTGGGGTAGATCTGACTGTCATCAAGTTTCAGCCTGTCCTGAACAAAGACTGACAGTGGTACCCTAAATAAGCTTTTGCCAACTGCAGTAGTGGGAAGCTCTGTATAATATGGGTTATTATTGCACACATGTAAAGAATTAGTTTAGAACCTGAAGAATAATATTCATAGATCAGAAAGAAAATACTTCAGATTTGTGTGATGTACTTTTTTTCCTAAGTCACTGTGATCAAAACCATTATAAATGCAACATAGTTCAGAAAATCCATATGGAGTTGGTTGAATATTGATATCCTTTTAATGAAGGGGCAGTTCCTAAGCTGCAGAATGAAAGGTTTAAAAGGCAGCTCTAGGAGATGGGAGTAAACTCTCTTTTTGGTCTTTGTGGTTTGTTTACAGCTTGTATTTCTGCAAACAGGCAGTGGTGAAGAACTGTCTCGTTCAGGTCTGCTACAGGTGAGCCACTTGTATCTAAGGAGAGGGAGAGAGGACAGGTAAACAAAACAGGATGTGATTGTTTAGTGATACATTTAAGTCATTTGAAGTAACTAACAGAAGAAAATTCTCTGGGACATGCTTAAGAGTTAATCAAAATTTGAAATATTTGACACTTAGATTATTTGGGATATGTAATTACCTATCCAAAAGCGTAAGAGTGTTCTAGACAAAAGTATATGGCTTTTCTGCTAATGATTACTTTGGAAGTTATATTTTGTCATCCTATGTAGGAGACAGTTATGTACTAATCGAGTTATGTCAAGATTCCTTGGTGACACTTGGCAGTATTTTAGAAATTATGTCAAGTATGAGGGTTTTTTAAGTAGTATTTTTTATTGGAGCTGCTTGCTGAGTCAGTAAAGCCTATACTTGTGATATTTGTGTATCTGCAACCCCCTAAAGCCTCTAGAGGATGACAGATAAAGTAATTCAGGACTTTGGCCTGTTCATTCAACCTCTCAGCATCTCCTCCTGTTTGCTGCTGTATCTACTACCTCCCAGGACCCTACTACCCCATATCACTTCTTGTTCAGGTATGGTGGCATTTGGCTGTGAACCATTGTGTTTTTGTAGCTCTGATCATCTTATACAGATATGCAGGTCTCCTGACAGCTGCCCCTTTGCATTTTGCTCTAAGTTGAAGGAAAATTGTGTGTGGTTTGTCTTTGAGAACAGTTCAATCAAATGTGGTAGCTGCTTTTGATATAGAAATGACTAAGAGCAAAATCAATGTTTTTCTAAGGCATAAAAGGAAGAGCTGAAATAAGATATTTCATAGGAAAAACAGTTTGGGGGCAGTTGCTTGGTAAGTGCTATTTTTCATGTAATTTCAAGTACAGTAGGGCTACTAGCAGACTTAATGAGATGACCAGAGTAATTTATATGCAAGTAGTTTATGTAATTGGCTACAGTCACTACTGCCTTAACTATGTAACTACTCTTGTGTCTTAATATGCTCCTTCAGGTTTTTACCCTAGTCCTGATCCAAAGCATTTATGTATCCTTTCACGAGTTGCTGAAAACTAAATGGCACCAAAAGGAATTCCTACCAAGATGACTGTTTCTTTCCTTCGTGATTCTTTTTGATCAATATTTGGGTACTGTTACTAAACTTAAATACAGATCAGAAATGCAGATATAGTGATACACATCTTGCTGGTAAAGTGAGGGAAATGCCCATTCTTTTGCTTCTGTATTTGACTACTGTATTAAGTAATCTTTGGAGTACTTTGCAGGTAAGAAGACGAGTTCAAAATTCATATTTTACAGTTCTTTTGTATGTGGGTTTTTTCTCCCCTGAAAAATATCTGGATTTTTTCCCCTGTTTATTAAATGGATTAAATATGTCTAAAGACAAGCAGTTTGAGGGGTTTATTACTTAGGCAGCCTGCAGTGAAAGATCAGGTGAGAGAACAGATGTTCTGAAACACTAACATTGGCTAATTGTTTCATACACATGCTGTAGAAATAAACATGAGTCAGATGGAACTGCTGTTCAGAAAAGAATGAATTTTGTTATCCAAAAGGAAATCATCTTGACTGAGCTTTTAATTGCTCTTGCATCATATTAGTTAGTACAATTATGGCTGCTGAAACCTGGACAACATAGTTTCAGGACTCCAAATTAAATTGGGGAGCGGATAAATTGTCTTGAGCTAAAGGATATCTTTGTGCTGGGAGGGTGACAAACTCACTTCAGTTACATAATGTTAACTGCAGAGTTCATCCAAACATACTTGGTTTATTTGTATTAAACTTGTTTTAGAAGTCAATGTATCATAGGTTTCTGTTGTTGTATTTTGGTTTATTTTTTCTTTTTTTTTTGTTAAATCTTCATGCAATGGATGAAATTACTAAAACAGAACAAAAAAATGCTTGAATGGTGCATCTTTAAAGTCAAGGAAGTACATTCAGATCCACATTTTTTCCCTAAAATGAAAAGGAGTTAGGTATTTAAGAGCCTTGTGAACTTGGTTTGTATTTGTGTCCTGGGGGAGGGGAGGGTAGCATGAAACATGGTCTCTGGCATGGCCATTACATGCATAACTTTACTACCAGGTTCAGAGGAGTTATTACCAGCTATGGATAGTGTTGGTGAGGATGCTGAGTAAATCTGAGATTGGAGCATCTCACCTCTTGGAAGCTAAAAACACCTCAATTTCTAATTCTTTGTTGAGGAAGATGTTGATCAATGGAAGTGTCCAAACCTCTTGAACTTTTTACTTAACTTTCCTATTTAAAACTTAAATGTTTGTTTCATCCAAACTCAGAGGTATTTGGTAGCAGTTATATAAATAATTATATTTGAAACTGAAATAATGAGCCTTATTGCTAATTGCAAACATCCAGACTCAGGTGTTTAATCAGCTACAGATGGTGTTATCTCATAAACAGGAAATGTGCTTAAATCACTTCATGCTTATGCTACTTCTGAGACCTGAGTCATGCTGATACCCAGGCTCTGGCAGGACTTTTCTGAGACAACTTTCAATCTTACCACTGTCTTTCTGATGGAAAGAAATTGTCAGTGAGTGTTTTTAGTACAGATATGCTTCCCAATATCTTGCTGCTCTTTCAGCACACAGATTCCCTGTGATGTATCCTGTCTGCTTTGGGAAGGCAGAAGAGTTGTCTCGTTTTTCTGGTGAAACCAGTTCCTGCTATTTGCATATGCAGCTGATCTTGGCAACAGAACTGCGGGCCATCCAAAGCGCCACCACCCAGCAAGGTGCACAGAGACAGCTACCTATCTTAGCAAGCAGTCTGGGCTGGCAAAATGACTGTAAATATAGCCTTATTGTGTTCAATTATCTTCGTCTTTCGGGCTTTCAGATTTAAATCCCGGTGATTAAAGTGCCTTGAAAAAGCATTTTTCTGTTTCTTCTGTCAGCTTCCTCAGTAGGGCTGTGCTAGGAGAGTGATCTCTTTGCTGCTCTTGAATCATGAGTGCTATGTTCAGCTCTGTGCCCGAGAGGATTGGGCTTGTAGAAGACCGGGCTTTCAGTGTGTGTGGTGGATTCAGCACAGAGACTCACCTGCCTCTTCTCCTGTAGCTCTGAAACTCTGTGTATGTTGTGATAACTTCTAGGGATGCAGTCTTGCAGCTGGGGATGTGGATGGTGCCTTGCAGCCAAGAGGGGCTCCACAGCCCCTCACTGCTCTAATGGCTCACAGCCTGTGCAGGATAAAGCTCCTGCACAGCCTCCTGTTCCCTCTGTGGTCTTCCTTGCTTCCAGAACAGCCCCTGACACAAGTGGCATCCAGACCCTGACTTCATGTACTTAGTTGCAGAAATGTGGCAGACAGGTCCTAGGTAAGGCAGATGGAAAGGGAGAGACAGCCTAAAGAGAGAACAGATGTGTCTGCTGTTCCCCTTCCAGAGCAGGCAGACATCTGTCAGACATCAGCCCTGTATCCCTTGCCTCACAGTGCCTGTGAAGAACTGAGCTCTGGGCAGCTGGTGAAGGGGTGGGTGGTAGCACACCTGTTTGGGGAAAATGGCTATGCATGAAGCATGCCCTGCTCTCCTTCCTCTCCTGCTCTGGAGCTCAGACTGAGAAGGCCTCTTAGCAAGGGCTTGACTTAAAAAGTGGACAGTAGCAGAGTCTTGTATGAGAGTAGAGTTGGGACAATGCCAAATTACCAGGTGTAGATGTACTCTGGGACTGGTTCACGGACTAGCCTTCAGCAATCCAGAGAAGAAGAGCATTGGACATCGAGTACTCCTTTCCAAGCTGGTGTCTCCCTGGTGATCGTACTTTTCTCTGCTATTCTCTTTGGGACCTTGCCAACTTGAAATGATCAATGCAACTGCAGTGTGTCTCCCAAAATCCATTTTGATGATGGTGGTTTTAGGTGGGAGCTGGGCAGCTCTAAAGTGTGACCCCCTCCTCTTAAGTTTTCTTTGACCACTTGCTGCAGCACTGGTGTGCCTGTTCTGCAAGGCTGGTGTGTTTCAGCCTGCTTTTCAAGCTGGCATGCGAGTAGAGGTTGGCAGAACATTAGCTAGCTCTGCTGGATGGTGTCCAGCACCAGCTCTGAGGAAGTGGGTGAGAGAAGGGGGAGCTGGAGAGGGTTTGGCCAGGGATTTGCATGGTTTGGAACAGGCTGCAGGCAGCTAGAGGAGGAGGTATGTGTAGGGTGTGTGTGTGTCTTCTGACTTTACATTAGCTTCATGCCTCAGTCAGTTTTATTCTGAAATGGAGCATATGCTTTGCTCTGCACTGTATGTGTCAAACTTGCAATTTTTATCTCCAAATTGGTTGTTAGGAAAGTACATTGACTCCACGGTGAAAAATGCTCTAGAACACTTATTTGCAGAAAGAAAATAATGAATACTACAAAATGACTGCTCCGGAATACACAAGGAATATTCTCAATCCAAACTTCTGTTTTTCTGGAAAAAGTCTATAATACTGCTGATGACAAGAGGCTTTCTTATAATTGATAAGAAACTTATCAGCTTGTTTCTGAAGCACCTTGTTTGGAATAGCTTCAGCTGAACCCTATTTCAATGAAATGTAATGCCTTGTGAACTTGAGCTAATTCTTGTGGGATCTTGAAAGAGAAACTTGGAAGAGTTCCTCACATGTTCTAAACTAAAATACTCTGTTACAAAATTCTTCCAGGTCTGTTCTAATTTTGGTTTTGGTTTTGTTTGTTTGTTTTAGAGCATTAAAAATGTAATTTTTAACTGGTTATGCAATTAAAAGTTCTTTGAAGAAATACCTTTGTATCATTCAACTCTTTAAGTCTTTTGAGTTTTCTTTCTGCTTGGGAAGGATGCCAAATTTAAAAATTCTTCACAAAAATGATACTTTTGTTATAATTATATAATGTGATGTTAGCAGCATAGTATTTCATATGATGCTAAATTTTCTTGTCTGTCAAAATTGTAATTGTGACAGCTTTGGTTGTGGATTTTCTAGGCTGTTTTCCAAGCTGTGCTCCAACATGAG